CAGCCTTATTCTAAAATGGATTACCCCCCCCCCCCCCTCCCCCATAAATCTACACACAATACTCCATAATGACAAAGCATAAACAGGTTTTTAGAAATATTTACACATGTATATATAAAAAAATAAAACAAAAATAACAAATTTACATAAGTATTCAGACCCTTTACTAAGTACTTTGATGAAGCACCTTTGTCAGCGATTACCGCCTCGAGTCTTCTTGGGTATGACGCTGCATGCTTGGCACACCTGTATTTGGGGAGTTTGTCCCATTCTTCTCTGCAGATCCTCTCAAGCTCTGTCAGGTTGGATGGGGAGCGTTGCTGCACAGCTATTTTCAGGTCTCTCCAGAGATGTTCAAGTCCGGGCTCTGGCTGGGCCACTCTAAGGACATTCAGAGACTTGTCCCGAAGCCACTCCTGCGTTGTTTTGGCTGTGTGCTTAGGGTCGTTGTCCTGTTGGAAGGTGAACCTTCGCCCCCAGTCTGAGGTCCTGAGCGCTCTGGAGCAAGTTTTCATCAAGGATCTCTCTGTACTTTGCTCCGTTCATCTTTCCCTCGATCCTGACTAGTCTCTCAGTCCTTGAGGCTGAAAAACATCCCCACAGCATGATGCTGCCACCACCATGCTTCAACGTAGGGATGGTGCCAGGTTTCCTCCAGATGTGACGCTTGGCATTCAGGCCAAAGAGTTCAATCTTGGTTTCATCTGACCAGAGAATCTTGTTTCTTATGGTCTGAGAGTCCTTTAGGTGCCTTTTGGCTAACTCCAAGCGGGCTATCATGTGCCTTTTACTGAGGAGTGGCTTCCGTCTGGCCACTCTACAATAAAGGCCTGATTGGTGGAGTGCTGCAGAGATGGTTGTCCTTCTGGAAGGTTCTCCATCTCCACAGAGGAACTCTGGAGCTCTGTCAGAGTGACCATGGGGTTCTTGGTCACCTCCCTGACCAAGGCCCTTCTCCCCCTATTGCTCGGGCGGCCAGGTCTAGGAAGAGTCTTGGTGGTTCTAAACTTCTTCCATTTAAGAATGATGGAGGCCACGGTGTTCTTGGGGACCTTCAATGCTGCAGACATTTTTTGGTACCCTTCCCCAGATCTGTTCCTCGACACAATCCTGTCTCGGAGCTCTACGGACAATTCCTTTGACGTAATGGCTTGGTTTTTGCTCTGACACTGTCAACTGTGGGACCTTATATAGACAGGCGTGTGCCTTTCCAAATCATGTCCAGTCAATTGAATTTACCACAGGTGGCCTCCAATCAAGTTGCATAAACATCTCAAGGATGATCAATGGAAACAGGATGCACCTGAGCTTAATTTTGAGCCTCATAGCAAAAGGTCTGAATACTTATGTAAATAAGGTATTTCTGTTTTTTATGTTTAATACATTTGCTAAAATTTCTAAAGACCTAGTTTTCACTTTGTCATTATGGGGTATTGTGTGTAGATTGATGAGGAACATTTTGTATTTTATACATTTTAGAATAAGGCTGTAATGTAACAAAATGTGGACAAAGTCAAGAGGTCTGAATACTTTCCGAATGCACTGTGTATGTATATATATGTATATATATATATATATATATATATACACACACACATACATAGACTGTTCAGCCTTCCCCTGGCCTCTGGTCTGAAAGACCACTGTCTGTGGCTCTGTGGGTTAGTGTGTTACTATGGCTCGGTGTCAGATCGTCAGTGTTGGGCTGAATTACAGTTGAGCCTGTGGAATGGAATGGGCTGTTGTGTTCTGACTGTTTACTTTAGGCCACGATCTGTGCACATAAATACACAGGCAAAGCAGAAAGGGGGAGAGGAGGGAACGGGGGAGAGGGGGAGGTAGTGAATGAACGGGGGAGAGGAGGGGGAGGGAAGGGGGGATAGGAGGTGGAGGTAGGGAAGGTGGGAGGGGAGGGGAAGGTAGGGGTGGTAGGTAGGGGAAAAAAGCTGCCAAACCTACAGGGGAATCTTTCAAAAATAGAACCAGAAAAAAAGAAAGATGGAAAAAAAGTTTGAGTCAGGGTTTTGAAATGCTTAAAGTTTTACAGTAAAAGCACACAGGCAATAATGTTTGAGTTTGAGTCTAATTTTTGTTAATCTTACTTACGGTGCTGTGACTGACTGACTCCTGTCCAAAGCAATTTTGGAAACCGCTGATATACAGTGTTTCAATAGACTGAATCCTAAAACTGTAGCGATGGGTGGAATGAAAGGAAATAAGCTTATTTTAATCTGGTTTTACAGTTGTTGGTGTGGAAGCTTGAGGTTTGTATCAGGAGTTAGATGTGTGTTAAAACCCCAGTCCAGAAACCCAACTGCCTCCAACTACTGTGAGGGTTGAGTGTAAGGTTGAGTGTTTGACAATTGATCATTAGTTATACACACAGTGGCTGACTGTATCTTTTCAATCCTAAATAATGTGTGATATGAGAGGTAGTTTGACTACATTTCCCGTCCATGGTATACAAATATATTGAATGGAGTGTAAATGGTTTTAAATGTAAAAGTAGCACAAATATAGCAAAACAAGAAGACAGAAATATACACAACCTGTTTTTTGTATCATTCCATCTGTAGATCGATAATTCAACTGTAATCAATTTGAATGGTTTGTTTCATAGCATTTTTGTAGTTTTTTTTTAATGATAACTGTGGATATGCTGTATTATACGGTAATAACCTAGTGTATGTTTGGGTCTATGTGGGATTGGGGAACATTTATCCCACAATCCCAAAAGACAAACTTTAAGATGGGGGCTAGTTCTTGAGTATTTGGACCATAGAATTAGGAATTAGAATACTAGAATGGACATGAACCGTCTTATGATGGGATAAAGGTCAGCCATTTTGGTCAGGGAGTTGGTCAACCATGGTTTGCCAGTGCTGTGATAAGATAATGTGTAAAATAATGAATATGAAGAATTTTAGAGGAATGATTCCATACATTTTTCAAACTAACTGCCAATATCCCAACATTCAATTCAAACAATGCACTCAATCCACAGCCTTACACTGGCTGAAATCAGGTGATGATAAGACTTAGACAAGTTGGAAATGCAACAAGTACTGATATTGTATCATATAATAGCACTCTCAGCTTTACAAGAAAACAACAAAATGAGACATTTATGGTCTGTTTACATATATTTTAGAGGCTATTTATACAGAAAATGTGGTATAAAACCCGTATAAACTGTATTTATTTCTCCCTGACCAATATGGCTGCCATTTTCACCCCATTCTGGAACTTTGAGGGTTCAGCCCCTCTAGTAATTTAATAGGATCTCTATGATTTGGACTTTCTGTTGCAGATTGTGAAACTGCCTGGGTCTTTGGCTGTGTCCCTTTAGGAGTATGATGGAGTTGCCCTTAGACACTGATCTAAGCTCAGTTTTGTGTTTAATCTCTCATTAAGATTTGAAGAGGGGCGACTGATCCTAGATCTGTGTCTAAGAGCACCTTCTACCTGGCCCGTCCCCTTCTGCCTTGTTACTGTGTATCACTACTGCCACCTGCTGTTGAATGTGGTCATGTACACGTTATAAAATACTGCTGAATATGTTTGTGTTCTTGACTTGAACAAACCCCTCTGCTTTGTCATTTAGGGTTTCATGGCATATTGTTTATTGATAACATACAAAAAAACAGTTTAGGCTATTTTCCATTTGCCTACTGGACACTGGAGCCCATAGGAAGGTCCAGTGTACTGCCCTGCATGGATGTACGTGTATATGACTGTATACTTTATCTCAATGTTATCCACTCAGTCTTATACTCGACATCATTCAGAAGAACAAATGCATTCCTTTGTCATTTCTGTAGCCTCTAAGTTCAATTATTATTTCTTAAATCATTTGTCTGGATGCAATTTGTCTTATCTGCTGTGACATGAATGCAATGATTTAACCTTCTTTTTTATCAAAGCTTGTTTTCTACTTAATCAAAAGAGCCTTGAACACAGAAAGACTTGAATTTGGTTCCATCTCTTTTGTTTCCTGCAGCAACTGATCAACATGTTCTTATCCCCATGTGGTATTGTGGGTTTAAAAAACAGGCTTCTCATTTGATGATATTGAAATCACAGCTCTCTCTCCAGTGAAATGGGCTTCATAGGAATTATATTGCAGAACGTTGGTGCAACAATAATGATTGTAAACCATGGACTGTGTCTCAAAAGACATCCTAAATTAGTGCACTATATAGGTAATAGGATATCATTATTTCATAAGAGTGCAATGTTAAAGAACATTCATATAGAGATGTGTTGTGCAGAATAGCCATTCTTCTGTCATAGATAATGCCAGCGCTATGCATTACATTTCTATCTGTAATATTGTATGTTGCACTCCAGTGAGTATACCCCAAGTTTATCAATACCAAGCCAGGCCTGTCTGTCAGTACTTATGAACATACTGTAAGATCAGCTACACTTTAATAACTGTAGCCAGGATCATTACCAGAAGTGAACACACACTGCACCTCATCTCTTGATAAAAAATTAATAGCGTGAAGACACGTAAAGTAATTTGATTTATGGGAACAGTTCTTCCTTTTAATGCAATACAGACTCTGCAACAGGGAATGGAAGAGCCATACCTGGCATTAGTTGGTTGGAGCCTATTGTGGAGGCGTAATGGATACCACTGAAAAAGAGTCCACCTGTTTGTAGATAATTCTGTTTCTTTGTATAGGAAAGTCAGGAAAAAAGCTTTTTGTATTTCTCTTCATTTTGTGTCCTCTGTAGTCCCCATCACATGTGACTCAATTATGTAATCCTATTTGTCCAAACCCGTGCTGTGTTCAAGAGTGTAAATAGAAGTTTGTTAATAAAACAATAGTGTACTTTTAATCATCTGATTCGGATTTATTTGTTTAAGGGATTATTCATCTTTTGTGCAAATATTCAAACTGTAATCTGATGTGCAGTTGGACTGATTAACTTGCTCTTCCAGTTGATCACTGTAAACATCAATAATGACAAAACACTGGCTATTGCATATGTGTTTATTGTAGTAATATAAATATATAAATTCAACAACTTCTATTACAGCCAAAAAGAGGCCACTTTTGGAGGGTATTTTGAGCAGGGCAAATCAACAGCATAGTGGTTTTGAGGTTGGAACAGTGGGTCAGATCTGTCAGGCATCCAAAATCCAGGGAACATTTTCAGAACGTTCTCACAGCACCTATAGAACAATGTGAGCTACTTCTAGGGTTCTAGAATTTTCTTCATTTGTCGAAGGTAAACAAAAGCCTAAAAGGGAAACAAGGAAATTGTGTATTGTTTCTCAGTGTATTAGGGATACTATAGGGTAATTGTGTCATACAAATATACACACAGGGGTCTCGTACTTGAGTGTGTGTCTCTCAGGACATGAATGCTCGGACACTGCCTCTGATGGTGGCTCTGCAGATGGGGCAGTGACGCAGGCTGGCAGCACAGTCGCTACACACCACCAGGTGACCACAGGGGATGAAGACGATGGAAACCCGCTTGTCCATACACACCTTACATGTCCGCTCCTCCTGCAGCTGACGCAGGAGCTCATCAGGGGTGGGGTCGCCCACTGCTGAAATACACACAGGAGTTTGGTCGTGTGGGTGGGTGGGTGGGTGGGTGTGTAATACACATGACCTCTGACCTTTTTCTGTGATGGGTGTCTGTGTCCTGACCCCTCCTGCACTGAGCCCCTGCCTCTCCACCGGCCCTGATGGGGACACAAAACACCAACAGTAAACAAGGGTGAGACATGGTTACTCACAGTAACATTATCTATTTACATCTTTAACAAGAGTCTCCATTTGTTGTTTCTCCGTGTCAATCCAGTCATTTCAGATGAACAAGAATATCAAAGGGTTGTGTTAAAATATGAACGTGGTCAACATCAGAGTTAAAGATACCAACATTGGTCCAGCAGGCTATTTTTAGGACTCCCCCAGAGGTCAAAGTGTAATTAGAGCCCTGTAGGTTCAAGTTATGGTATGTACCTCCGCTCTGTGGGCCCTTAGCCTCTACCCAGCCCATAACCATCTGCTGGTCCCTACCTCCAAACAAGTATCTATGGGTAGAAGCAGTGGGTTCTTTCACACAAGGCATATGTTTAGGACCCCTACTGACCCCTGTGAGCTATACCCAGGCAGGTGCTGCTACTGTACTGTACACCCTGGTAGCGGATGATGTGAATCCCCTCCCCTTACAATGTTAAGTGCTTTGAACATCAGGAAAGCTCTATGTAAATCTAATCCATCATCATTAATATAATCACCATCCTCACCCTGACCTCTGCTCTGCAGCCCCCTGGACCTGTCCTCCTCCTCAGCCGCCAGTATGTCAGTGACCAGGCCAGACACAGAGGTGTAGTGCTGGCTGTTCAGCAGGTACTTGGTCTGGACCAGACTCTCCACCAGGCCAGCCTGAAACCCCATCTGGAGCACGGTCTGGACCACAGGAGACATCATGGCCGAGGGCACGCCCAGACCACCCACCACATCTGGGGGAGGGGAGGGGAGGGGAGGAGAGGGAGGGACGGGGAGAGAGAAAAAAAAAAAACTGGTATTAAGCGGGAAGTTGGGAAAGAGACATAGTTATATAGAGAGAGTTTCACTGAAAACCAATAGCACTGCATTTTTTCTTCAGCGTTACCAAGATGATGTGTCTCTCCTTGAGATAAGCTAAAGCAATTACTTTTCTCTGCTTTATTCAGTGAAACTGATGAAAAAAGATGGATAGCAGATTAAGCAACAGTATGTGATGCTATTGTGCTATCATTTTATCATTTGATAAATGGCACAGTAGAGAGAGCAGTACCCCAGGGTGTGCGAGTGGAGAGAGTAGGCAACCCAGAGCCCCGCATCACCTCTCTGACACACATTAAACCACAGGAACAAATTGAATTTTCAATCTTGCTCTGATAGATATAGAGAAAAGCATCACTGAGGGATCCATCTGTTTCTCTGACTGTCCTCTAAAACAGCTGAAACAGACAGTATTTGTGATTATCTCGCTACACACACACACGATTAAGTGCCCACTTGTGAAATACTACATCCTCTTAGTCTGTATCCAGGGGGAAGCAGCGTATTGGTTTCCAAGGCAATCCATATTTATTGTGTTTGTTCTGCACAGGTTAACACATGGGGCGGATCACCCAGTGATTTCATTTAGAGAGGGGGGGGGGGGGGACTCACCATTTTCTGAGTTGATTTCTCTGGACACCGGAGTCTGTGATACACCCTGGAGAAAGAAATCAACACTGGGGATCTATTCTGTGAGTTCCCTAACACACTACAGTGACCACAGCGGTTATGTTGGCACATTACTAATATACAAATGATCCTGTCTTTTGGTATGACAGTGGAGGACAGTGAAGCACAACAGTGAGGGATGAATGTTAGGGATTAAGGTACTTACCACAGTCTCTCTGTGGAAGTGGGTATCCTGGATGTTGCTGACGTAGTCACGCCCTCTCGTCTGGATCAGGAAGTCACATCTGAGGAATGAAAGAAAGAAAGAAGTAACATATTGACACATCAGAACCGTGGACACAGGGTCAAAGGCATTACAGATTGCATTTTGACAGGTTATGTGTGTTGGTGCTGTTGTGTTACCGTGGGAACCACTTGGCATGCTCCTGCCAGGGGTCATCTCCAGGTTCCCAGTTCCTCAGCCCTCCATCACAGTAGAAACATTTCACGTTGTCACCGTGTCCTAGGAGGAGGGACATAGACCAAGTATTATCACAGCACTTCTGACACAAAGACTTTACATGAAGATTAGACACACTAAAGGAACACCTTTTTTTTCCCTCTCTCTTGCTCTCTCATACACCCCCCCCCACACACACACACACACACACACACACACACACATGCATACAGTACACACAGGCAGACACCCCAACATTCCTACTGTGAGAATGTGGATTGTGTTATTGCATTTCCAAAACTGAATTTCAAACAAAGGAAAAGTTGTTTCATTCTCTCTCATAGTCGTTTTATTTTCTAAGATTTTATGAACACAACAGTCTAAGCATAACAGCGATGTTCTCCTTTACGCAGTCCGGGTCCTGTCCAGCTTTTTCTGTCCACAAACACATGACTCAGCGTGACTATTGTCCCATGAACTCACACACAAAGACTGGAACCTGCTATTTCTGAATATCCAATAGCCAATTGCCAAGGCTTGTGTAACTTTGTCCAAAAGCTTCACTAAACATTAATGGGACTTTGGGGGAACCAAAAGAATGAAGCAAGTTATAAAATGTTCCCAACAGAATTTAGAAAAGTGGATATACACAACACACACTGATATCACAATAGGATTTCTCTCTCATCAACAAATACTATTGCGCACCTGTGTAGAAGAATCCTGCCCTCGCCAGAACATCGGGCTGGACCGCCGCACCGGTGGGCCAGTTGTGGAAGGTGGTGAGCCGGGATTCCTCTAACTCCATCTCGGGGTAAACAGCCTGCCCGGCCGCCTGGTCGTCCACAGTCATCCTCTGGAGCTGGCTCAACAGCTGACCGTCCACGGAGTCAGAAGGGGACCCGGGAACGACATAAAGTGGGATATTCCCAACGGCTCTACCCAGTACCAAACTACAAGTGGGGAAGTGTCTCTTGTGTTCGACGATAGGACTGTCCCCATGGACCCAATACCTCAGGATCCCTCCACAACAGAAACACTTGACCTTATCCTCGGGCCCCAGAAAATAGAAGCCGGCTCTGGCTAGGTTGGTCGCGGTGACCGGTGCATCGCCCGGCCAGTTTTCAAAAGTTCGAAGCCTCTCCTCCTCGCCTCGCATCTGGGGCGTCTTCAGAATATACAGCATCTCGCTCCTGTCGTCCGTCATGCTGGTGGTTGTGGTCTCTTCCTTTTCCTTCGGTCCTGTGCCAGTCATCCCTTTTCCTTTCCATAGTGGACTGTGCGGGTGGGAGCGCGAAGCGCTCAGTGCTGGACATATATTCCCTGCAGCTGTAAGCACGGCTTGCGCAGTAGCCCACATCAGGCAGCGTTCCAGAACTCGCTCACTATATGCCAGAAGGCAGTCCCATGCGGTCAAAACATAGAGATAGATAGAGGAATCATCTTTAAATCTGTGCCATTATAGCATCTGTGACAGCATGGGCAGCGCCATTGAGGCTACAACCCATAGGATTCCCCACCCAGTTGACTAGTTTGACTACTTTAAAATTGCGGAAGCATGGTGGAAGCCCTCAATGGCGCTAGCAATGCTAAATCGGCCTTTTGGCCACTAGAGGCCTCGATCATTCTCTATGGGTCAAACCTCGAATAGCAGAAAACACACTTCTGTTTCCCAGTGCTTTTCCAGACTGTTTGACGGGGATAGCCATAACCAAAAGAGGAACAGTGCATTAGTGAGATGTGTCCAAACGGGAATCCACCAAGTTAAACTTGCTAAACCTACACATTAAATAATGTCGATTTATTGCTGCAGATTTTGCACAATGACCGCGACTGTAACCAATCTAACAATGTACACTGAACAAAAATATAAACGCAACATGTAAAGTGTTGGTCCAATGTTCCATGAGCTGAAATAAAAGATCCCAGAAATGTTCTATATGCACAAAAAGCGTATTCTTCTCAAATGTTGTGCACACATTTCTTTACATCCCTGTTAGTGAGCATTTCTCCTTTGCCAAGATAATCCATCCACCTGACAGGTGTGTCATATCAAGAAGTTGATTAAACAGCATGATCATTACACAGGTGCACCTTGTGCTGGGGACAATAAAAGGCCACTCTAAAATGTGCAGTTTTGTCACACAACACAAGGCCACAGATGTCTCAAGTTTTGAGGGAGCGTGCAATTGGCATGCTGACTGCAGGAATGTGCACCAGAGTTGATGCCAGAAAATTGAATGCCCATTTCTCTACCAATGTTGTTTTAGAGAATTTGGCAGTAGGTCCAACCAGCCTCACAACCGCAGACCACGTGTAACCATGCCAGCCCGGGACCTCCACATCAGGCTTCTTCACCTGCGGGATTGTCTGAGACCATCCACCCAGACAGCTGATGAAACTGTGGGTTTGCACAACCGAGTCATGTGAAATCCATAGATTAGGGGCTAATTAATTTATTTCAATTGACTGATTTTCTTATATGAACTGTAACTCAGTAAAATCTTTGAAATTGTTGCATGTTGCGCTTATATTTTTGTTCAGTGTATTTATCTTGTGTATATCTGTTGCATGGTTGACACTGTTTTTAATGTTTTTATTGTTGTAACCCTGGCTGCACTACACATTTCCAAATTGGGACTATAAAGATAACAATTGATTAAGATATTTTAAGAGAGCTTTTATTTTCATAGGCCTATAAGCTAAGCCTAAGGCGAGGCTAGATAGCCTATAGGTGTAAAAACATAGGCTAGTTGGGAATTAAAAAGATTGGGCCCTTCCCAGTAGGTCTACACTCTAAAAAGAAAAGGTTCCTGAAGGATCCTTTAGGGCAGGGATCATCAACTACAGCCGTGGGACAATGTTTTCTTGAGCGGATGGTTGGGGGGCAGAACATAAATATAAATAATTTGTAGACTGAAAATTGACTGTAAGAAGCCCAAACAGATATAATATTTGACTATAACAAAATCATTTCAAACCTTGTGTCGCTCTATTTTTTTTATTATGCGTGGGAATACTTGTGGACATATTTCCAAAATTTAAATCACTTGGAGCTGATTTCACAGTCTTTTATGTCCAACAATGAAAATAAAAACGGAAATATCACATTTACATAAGTATTCAGACCCTTCACATAGTACTTTGTTTACGCACCTTTGGCAGCGAATACAGCCTTGAGTCTTCTTGGGTATGACGCTACAAGCTTGTCACAAGTTTCTCCCATTTTTCTCTGCAGATTCTCTCAAGCTCTGTCAGGTTGGATGGGGAGTGTCGCTGCACAGCTATTTTCAGGTCTCTCCAGAGATGTTCAAGTCCGGGCTCTGGCTGGGCCACTCTAAGGACATTCAGAGACTTGTCCCGAAGCCACTCCTGTGTTGTCTTGGCTGTGTGCTTAGGGTTGTTGTCCTGTTGGAAGGTGAACCTTCGCCCCAGTCTGAGGTCCTGAGCGCTCTGGAGCAGGTTTTCATCAAGGATCTCTCTGTACTTTGCTCCGTTCATCTTTCCCTCGATCCTGACTAGTCTCCTAGTCCCTGCTGCTGAAAAACATCCCCACAACATGATGCTGCCACCACCATGCTTCACCGTAGGGATGGTACCAGGTTTCCTCCAGATGTGACACTTGGCATTCAGGCAAAAGAGTTCAATCTTGGGTTCATCAGACCAGAGAATCTTGTTTCTCATGGTCTGAGAGTCCTTTAGGTGCATTTTGGCAAACTCCAAGTGGGCTGTCATGTGCCTTTTACTGAGGAGTGGCTTCCGTCTGGCCACTCTACCATAAAGGCCTGATTGGTGTAGTGCTGCAGAGATGGTTGTCCTTCTGGAAGGTTCTCCCATCTCCACAGAGGAACTCTGGAGCTCTGTCAGAGTGACCATGGGGTTCTTGGTCACCTCCCTGACCAAGGCCCTTCTCCCCCGATTGCTCAGTTTGGCCGGGCGGCCAGCTCTAGGAAGAGTCTTGGTGGTTCCAAACCTCTTCCATTTAAGACTGATGGAGGCCACTGTGTTCTTGGGGATCTTCAATGCTGCAGAAATGTTTTGGTATCCTTCCCCAGATCTGTGCCTCGACACAATCCTGTCTTGGAGCTCTACGGACAATTCCTTCGACCTCATGGCTTGGTTTTTGCTCTGACAGGCACTGTCAACTCTGGGACCTTATACTGACAGATGTGTGCCTTTCCAAATAATGTCCGATCAATTGAATTTACCACAGGTGTACTCCAATCAAGTTGTAGAAACATCTCAAGGATGATCACTGGAAACAGGATGCACCTGAGCTCAATTTCGAGTCTCATAGCAAAGGGTCTGAATACTTATGTAAATAAGGTATTTCTGTTCTTTCTTTTTAATACATTTGCAACAATTTATAAAAACCTGTTTTCACTTTGTCATTATGGGGTATTGTGTGTAGATTGATGAGGGAAAATAATTTAATCAATTTTAGAAAAAGGCTGTAACGTAACAAAAAAGGGAAGGGGTCTGAATACTTTCCGAATGCACTGTAAGTTCTTCAAAGAAGATAACATGAGGCCAAACCAATACCAACTGTACACACCTTTGTGTGCTTCCTCGTCAGTATACCTGCAGGCAAACACACACACGCACACACACAAAAGTGAGCCATGCAGCCATCTGTACCCAATGCAGATGGACTACTGATTGTCAATGGGTTCCCTGCCCTACAGAGGGGAGAAGAGAGAAAGGGGGACTATAAGTAGAAGACCAAAGAGCCTTCTTCAAGGTGGTTAAGGCATACAAGGCCTAGGCCTATACTTTAATAGAAAATAGATCCATGATTTATAGCCAGGGGTCTAGGGTCCATCCCCCAGATTTTTGTTATTAGAGACTTAGGCCTTAAGCTCATGATCTTTAATTCTACAGTTTGCATAGCTCATGATGGAATTAGAATTATAAACATCTTCCCTGTCATTGCCTACATCTCTTACACCATGTCTTACACTTCCAATTTAAATCTGTTAGGCAAAGGGTTTAATCTGGATAGCCTAATATTTATTTCTGCATGATTTAGGCCTAGGCAAAATATTTTCTTTGTAGCCTATAGTATAGGCCTAAAAGCCCTGTGTCTGAATGGGACTTCTACATATGTCTTGGTGTCTCGCACAACAACAGCAACATTTGACTATTTATTGAAATGACTGCCCCTCATTGTACCATGCATCGTACCTGTTTTGCATAAACTTCCTATAAACTGTCCCTGGCATTAGACTCATTCTAACCTGGCAACACTTGTCCGCCATGCAGGGCCACCCACCTTTCAAGAAACCCGGTGTCGCTGACGTAAAGCTCTGTCTAGAACCCGGATGGAACCAATTGGATAGAACAGCCATTGGGGGAAGTGCTGCACGATAACAGGGCTGCAAGCTAACTGTGGAGGGATCTCCGGAGTGGAAAAAAATACGTAAAAGATTCAACTGTGGACAGAGATTGTGCCGGATCCAAAAACAATATTCTGTGGAGATCTATAAATATTATCTGGACTTATTTAAGCTTGGACATTGAATCCGAGCGGACCGGATAAGACACTTGGACTGTGGGAGTTGATCTGGGGATACGAGCAGTGGAAAAACACTTTAGCTAGCCTAGCCAGCTAACTGAGCTGGGAACCATCGGAAACCGGAGCATCAGATACACTGACCTGCTAGGCTCCGTGCGAATCCAGGGACTTGCTTAATGAATTATGTCTGCCACGAGCATTGACCCTCAGGTAACGTTAGGCAGAACGATGCATCTCGCCGCCTGGCAGTAGCTAGTTAGTTAAATATGTCAGCTAGCTAGCTAATTAACCTTACTTAGCCAGGTAACGTTAGCTTCGTTTCAGACTAATTTGATACCGCTTTTAATTGTGCCAGGCGGTTTGTGCAAATGAAGAACGTTTTGCAACCACATATTCGTATAGCTTGATTGTACGATGTTTGAGGGCAAACAAGTAGCTAACGTTAAGCAAACTATTTGCTAGCGTAGTAACGTTGGCTAGGTAGCTAACAGCTTGCTAACCAGCTAGCTAGCCAACTCTTGTTTAGAAACCCGGGGTTAGCTAACCTGATAAGCTAATATTTAAAGGGGTCATTGGTTAACGTTAGCTAGCTAAATGGGCGTAGCTCGTTAGAAAGCTAACTAGCTATCTTGCAACGTTACATCGTTGCTTAATGATCCTGCTAGTCATATTTAGGCTATGCATTTAGCCAAAAAGCTAGCTAACCAACTCACTGATGGGATTTTCCCATGGTGTTACGTAGCTAGTTAGACGGAACTTTTAGCTAGCTAATGTTAGTCTGATTTTAGATTTTAGTCATTTAGCAGACGCTCTTATCCAGAGCGACTTACAGTTAGTGCATACATGTTTCATAC